CACAGGCAGGGTTCCCTGTGTTTGGCAAAGAATGAGCTGGGTTTGTGAAAGAGGAGGCCCTTTCCATGACGGTTGCTGCATGTGAATCTAAGGATGAAAGTTGAACATTCACAGCTGCTTCTTGTGGTCCTGCAGCTTCTCAAAAGTATGTATCTATGCTCAAGGGTGACCCTGAGACTTCAAATGCTGTTGAAAATAAGAAGACTTTGATCCCAGATTTACTCAAGATAACCAGTCTTCTTATCTGTAAACATAAGTGCCGTATCTTGTTCCCTGTACACATTGAGAGCTCTGGTGGCATTGAAGGTGTCACTAGTGAAGGAGGGTGTGGAATTGGAAAGGGGGCAGCAAATGAGGTGGAAACCACTTATTGTTTTTGTGATTTTTTTTTTTTAAGTTCCATCAGTGCCTAGCCTACTGCCTTATACACAATAGGCATGCAGCCCATCAACTTTAAATATTTGAGTGTTTACATGCTATTGTGACTGCATACTGGGGACACAAGAGTGAACAAAATAGAAATAATACCAATTAGATAGTAACCTGGTGGGGAAAAAGCCCTAAATCAATCATCATACAAATAAATCAAGATTTTAAAATATGATCTACTTCAAAAGAAGGTTACACAGCACAAGGAGAGAAAAAGAAAATATGCAGATCCTGTACACTTAGTGGAAGGGTGAGCTAATAAGGCCTTTTTGGAGAAAAGTGCATATAAATCTGGACATGAAGGATAAGAAAGGGTTATCTGAGTAAAGAAGGGAAGCATAGCAGTCCAAGAAAGGGAACAGCATGAATGCAGGTCTATAGGCAGGGCAGAAATGAATTTGGGATGCACAAAGCAGTCTGATGAACCTGTAGTATGTAGAGTCTGGGACAGAATAGCATAAGATAAAGTTGGAGAGACAGGAAGAGGCTAGACCGTGCATGGCCTTGCAGCCATGATGTGATCTCTAGATTGAAGACCCATGATCTATCCTATGCTACGCATTCTTATCCTAATGGCTTATCCCTGCTTCCTTATTTAGCCTTTAAGATTCTCATGGTTCCCTCTATATTTCTACTCAGGTCCACCGTGATTCTTTCAAACCGTCAGATCTCCATTACTAAATCATGCCCCTTCCGGCCTGTCTTTGTCCCTTGCTGTGCAAGACTTTGCCACTGGTTAGGATGGAGGAGAGCACATGTTCTGTGGCCCAGATAGCTCAAATCGCTAGTCTAATCGACAGCTCTATTTCCGTGAGGAATTCTCCAAAAGCTAAACACTGAGACATACTTTGGGGTATATATATATAAAATTATATATAATCCTCAAGAAATCCGCCAGAGGGAAGCCTATCAGAAGTAAAACAATTATTTACTGCTTTCTACAAAATAAAACGTCCTTTTTGTCCTACATTGCCAAGTCTAGGACCTGTACTTTGAATGTCGCAGAAGCGTTGTGCCTCTCTTTATAACATACCTTCACTACACTGATTTTCATAACACTTCCTGTGAAGAAAAAACAAAGAGGCATGCCTCTTTGACCTTTGTGTCCCATAACTATTTGGCACAGTAGTTCTCACATAATAGGTGACTAATAATAACTACATAGAAAACTTCTCCTAGCACAATGCATTCTTAGAAAGGAGAGGTTCCTGCTGAACAAATTACAGGCCCTGGAGTTAGTGGTGAATCAGTCCTGCATTGCACATATTGCTGAGAGAGGAAGAGACATTAAAAGGGGATAGGAGAGAGTATCGCTTGTTGTAAAATTCTGTATCAGCATTATAGTTGCATATTTACCATAATGTGGCTATGAATACAAATCAGGCACCCAGTCATAAAAAAATACATAACATAAAGGGAATAAAATCATAAAGCCTTCATATATCAAGCACTTACCATGCATCAGGTACTGTGTTAAGAATTAGCTACAAACTTCACAACAGCTCTTCTGGGTAGCTACTATTATTCCTGTTTTATAGATTAGAGACATAAGGCATGGGTAGACATTTGGCTAGAATCACATAGTTAATAATTGATGGAGAAAAATTTAAACCTAGTCTGCCTAATTCAAGCTCCAAACAGCTCAGACTCTGCCAAGAGCACTCAATTTTCAAAGAAGCCTAGGTCAAGAGGCTGGTTAAACATCCCCCTCCAAAAACCTACTGTCTGATGCATTTAAGAGACTGAGATAAGTGATCTGATCCATAAATCATCAAACGAGACATATTATCACCTTTAGCAGAGTTCTTAAGGAACTCTAGCAAGTTGTAGCTCTGCTACTGTGGAAGCAACTTCATACTTTGTTCAAAAATTCAGTCAAGTGGCCTGAAATGTAATGAATTTCTTTTTCAAAATGTTGTTCAGTTTGCTTCTGTTCTATTAAGCAGATCATTTAACAAATGTCAAAGTGAATTTATATATATATAGGTTATATATTATAATATATTATTTTATATATTTATATATTAACATATATTTTTTAATGCATACGAGACAAGTTAAATCAAAGTCGGCTCAAAGAAAGGGTGGTGAGTCTTGTTAGAAAACCCAGAGTGTACTGACTTTGTAACTTCTTTATTTCCCCTAGTTTAGGACTTTGTGAAATATCTGCTATGGGCAAGGCATTTTATGTGCTGAGGATACACTGATGAACAAAAAAGACTCAGTCTCCCCATAAATGCCCCCTCCACAGCCTCAGCTCACTTGCCCCTACATGGACCGTGTTAGTCAGGGACTACTGATTATTCCAAGATCTCTTCAACAATGAAATAATAAAGTCCCATTTATTGGCCTTGGAGAATAGTACAAAGTGTTTCTTATACTCCATGTTTGGTTAGTTCAACATACATTTTAATAATTTGCATTTTTTTAATACATGCTTTTTGGTGATTTTAAAAAATTGAATTCTGAATTTATTATTTTCATTGAGGAATTGTGTGTATGCAATGGCCTTCACGTACAACAGGGAGTCACTGACCCACTGTCAGTAAAACAAGCTTTGTGAAATGTTTTCTCAGAAATGGAGAAACAGTTACGTACATTGTTTCCCATTTTCTTGGTGTCTCTTGTTAGCAGCAGCGTGCGTTTTGTCCGAAAGCTGGCAGGGGTTAGGATGCAGACCGAGGTCATGGACCTGAGCAGAGCTAACTGGTATGTGCAGGGATAAAACCTGCAACTCTTGCCTCATTAGCACCACGTCCCCTACTGAGTTAACCAGCCATACGCAATTGAAGAACTCTGAAGGTTAATTCTTTCTGCCCATAGGTAGAGTTACAGCTCAATGGACTAAGCCTTTAAAATGTTAACTCTCCAAGCAGGAAATTTTAAGGGGAAAAATGACTGGTAGTACCACAAGGTTAAACAAATTTGAAAACAGATCTAAAACAGACTTGGAGTTTTTTCAAGAGTTGCATAAAATATTTTGCAACTTTTATAGAGGTTATGACTCTAACCATGTTTCAACCATGTGATTGCCAGGAACTATTAAAATAAATAGCACAAATAGGGCAATTAAATATAGATACTAACAGCTTCAAACCACAAGAGAAGAGGAAATGAAGCAGCTTTGTTTTTCATCTAAAAACACCCAGGTGAATTTATTTGAAATTAACACAAATACCTGTTTTGAGAAGCTAGATACGGAAGAAGACAGATGAGACTAACAAATTATGATTATTTCTGCCCTCAAGGGAGTCCTGGTCTAAGCTAATGTATCAGTATGAAACAGTGCCCCTGCTAAATTACATACAAACCAGTTAGAAGAGATGGATTCTGAGGTCTCAGCCAAGCAACCACTATCTGGGCAGCTTAAGACAAATGTCATGCCTCCACTTTACTCTTCTTAGGTCTCCTGTGATCCCAAGTCACTGCTCGTCTTCAATAGGCACCCTAATTTTCCTCTCCTGGCTCTTGTGTTTTTTTTTATTTATTTTTTTATTTCCTTGTGTTATGGGAGTACAGATGATTAGGTTACATATGATGCCCTTACCCTCCCTCCCCCCCAAGTCCGAGCTTCAAGTGTGTCCATTCCCCCGGAGGTACGCATCGCACTCATTGTTTGTGGCTCTTGTGTTTTGATGGCACAATGTAGTAGGAGAGGACAGAAAAGTCTCTTTCTGATAAAAAATCCTTCATGTGTGAAATGAGAACTAACCAAGCTGAACTGAACAGGGCCCTGCTCTTTGTCACTGTGTCCATGGTGAATGAAAAATGAACATCACAATGTGCCTGTCTGCATATAAAGGGAAAACCGAAAAATCATTTGGGTACTGGTAGGAGAATATAAAGCCAATAGGTCTTTGGCAATTAGGTGTGCGGATGATGGCTGGATTTGGAACTTTAATAGTAGGACCATGTTACCTGTCTATTCATTTCTCCATGTTGACTTGTTGGCAAAGGGCAAAGGAGTAAAGAGTAATAATTTGAAAATAACTAAAATGTATTTAGTACTTATCATAAGCTATATGTCAGGAACTTAGTAAATTTGGTTTAATATTTGCAATAGGTTGTTGTAAAAGTACAATAGCCAGGAGGGGCAGTCAGGATCCCAACTGAGAGAGCCTGTTTTGCCTCAGCTTTGCCATAGTCCGTGATCTTGCTGCAATGTCTTTGAAACTACAGCGTAAGTAGCGCCCACAGATCACAGTTAACAGGATAACTTGTAATAAGACAAATACAGGTGACTTTTGTTACAGGAGTGATGAAACTTATTAGTACCGAATAATTATACAATGACATTACAGAGTAGAATATAGAGACTATATTGAACAAATAATTCTGAGTAAAAATGTTTTACCTATCCTGAAGTCTGAGGGTGTAGAAATGAAATTACATAAAAATCCTAAAGTTATGGTGTTGAAAAAGAGTCCTCAGATCTTCTAGAATGACATATGAGGGCCATAAAGCAATATTGCAATGTTTACGCATTTACCACATAGTCTACACAAATGGATGTTGTTGAAAACTATATTCTCTTATGTAATGTTAAATCTTTTATCTAATTTAATTTACAGAACTTCTTTCAAATAGTTAGCAACCTTCTAGATGAAGAAAACAAAGAAAAATGGGAAGATGCACAACAGGTAAGGTTGGGGTTATTTCAGAACTCACAATAAAGTTGGCTAAATAAAGGGCAAGACATATGTTAAGAAATTAACGGCCTGCTATTTTAAAAATATAAAAGGGGATTTTAAAAAGGCAGTCTAGGTTTCATTCCAGTAATTTTAGAGAAAACAAATTATCTTTTTTCATATCAGTCTAGGGAAGGAATAATGTTTACGCATGTGAAAAACAACTGAGCAAGTTTAAGTAATTTAAAACTTTAAGGAATTAATACATACTAACTACATGCCTTATGGATTCATTCCTTTCCTGTCTACAGACTGGGAAAAACAGCAAATCTAAAAGCACATATCTCGAATGAAGCTGTGGGGTATTGACCAGTGAAATCATTTGCATTTACTACAATGCTACATGTAATCTGGATCATATCTACAGATGTGCATTTTTATTCAAAGCGAAGAATTGTAAAAATGGGCCCTCATAAAAAAAGTTTTCTGATACTTTGTTCTCTTTGTTTTATGCCTCATCGGTGTAGTAGATGGCCTTATTGCTTTAGTGATTGTTTTTAAATGCCTTGCATTTTTATTTATGCTATACTAACTGACATATAGTTAGTAACTTTTTTGGCGGGGGGAATTACAGGAAAAGTGGGTTAGAGGTCAAGAAAGGGAGAATAATCATGTTTTTAAAAAAAACCTATGGAAATTTAATTTAACTAAATGTTAAACTTCTGTTAGTTTTCTACCTGACCCTTGTTAAAAATCCCAAGAGAATGAGGCAATCTTGAAAAAAAGAATTAATATTTACTGAGGTTCAGGTGAACTATCTATCCTTTTTTTCCCTTTGTGATCATATTCTTGGCCTTCAGGAGTAAAGTGTGCCCTTTATTCCTATTATGAAAGGAACTCTAAAAACAGTCCGGTGTGGGCCTACCTCATTATCGGGTTCAAATTCTGTGCTTCTGGCCATAGCAAGAAAAAACATCACCCCTTAGTTTAAGACCCTGAGTCTATTTTTTTCTACAAGTTTGAATTATATACTATATTTGTCCTTGGCTCTCTTCTAGAGGACAGCCTCAGTCACTCACTGTAAGAAAATGGTGCCTTTCCTTAGAATACAGCTGCAGAGGCTAAACACATCTTTCTAGAATGCAGGAGACTATTAATTATGGATATATTTAGAGCAAATGTATAATACCCTATTTAAAACAAGACTGCAATTCATCAAATGGCGTTATTTACTGCGAGATTCCCAACTTTTACAAATAATGAATGGTGGCAGAACTTCTTGTCAATGGAAAATCCTGCATCTGTCATCCATCTATTTACTTGCAATTTTGAGTTAGCTATAGTCTTATGTTTAAAATATTTTTTCAAGAGTAATGATCCTTAATGCTATTTTTAAAATAACTATTCGAAATTTGAAAAATATATTTTGTAGCTTTTACTAAAAGGCAGTGTCATAATTTCAGCCATGTGGTAAATGGGTCTCCAAGTTTGTGGCACAAAGGGTGGACTTCTTGGAAATAAGGGCTATTTAAAATCTACCAAAGATAATCCTGTGAGTCCCCTTATCTTATTTTAGAAGAATAGCTCAACAAAAGCAAACATAAATTCTGTGTGAATTTGAAAACTCACTGAATAAAATAGTGACTATTGACGTCAGAAGTTTTCTGCAAGCAAAAATGTTTACTGTTGAATAAAAAGAGTCATTTCAGAATTTGTTAGTTACCCATAAGCCCCAGTTATGAAGAATAAAAGTGTGTTTAGATAAAACATCCTACTAAAAAAGTAGTATACTGAAGTAAAAAAAAAAATTCTACACTTTATATAGCACTATTTTACATACTACCACCATGGTTAGAGTTGACAAGTCCAAATCAGTCACTCAGACAAACCATGTTAGTCGTGTGTTCTGTATTTTTTTGTTATATTAAATATTCATGTGTCTATTAGAGCAGGAGGGAGTAAACTACAGCCAGTGAATCAAATCCAGCCTGATGCCTTTTTGTTAATAATATTTTGGAATATAACCACACCCATTCATGTACGGCGTGGTTATATTATCTGTGGCTGCTTTGGTGCAATAAGGACAGAGAGAGATCCCCTGTTCTACAGAGCCTCAAATATTTACTGTTTACAAACAGAAAAAGTTTACCAACCCCGTTCTATAACATTTGACTACTGTTGGAAAAATATAATTAAAAACAAAATCCTCCACCATCCTAAAAAACCTGTCCACAAAGGTGGAAAAGAAAGAAAACACTTTCATTATTGACTAAACTTTAAACTAGAATGCAATGTGTATTATAGAAAATCCACTAAGAGCTTTGCAAAGACAGAAAGAAACCTTACCCTTCTAGGTAGCCAAATAGATATACTCTGTCTCATGTGTTTCTTCAAGAGAACCTTGACAGTACTGTTTGTCACACCTGGTTCATCCTAAATTCACTTGGTAATTAGGGGTGACCATATTATTTGTCAATTGCCTTTATTCAAAGGACAAATAATCTCCTTATATCTTTATAACCGGAGATAATTTTGCAACTTGAAGCAGGGCTTAAGTGACTGCTGAATTTAGGCTCCTACCCTTCCACAGAACCTGAGAGAGCAGCGCTGTCTTCCTTCATGTTTACCTTTCAAAGAGAGACATTCCTGGATCTTTCAGCTGGTAGTAGGCTATTTAACTTTTATAGATTTACGTGCATTTGAAAGAGACAGGGAAAGAATTTACAATTACTAGTTTGGCAAAGTATAAATAAATACACTAAGAAAAGGGAGAGAAGAAAAAAATCAGGGAAGAAGGGAAGCTCTTCCTTTATTTTCAAAAGGAAACATTAAGCCTATTATTTTAATTTGCATTTGTCCTCACACTACACATATACACACACGCACCTACCCAAGGATGGAGAAGAAAAATAAGAAATTTTATGCACATTCTTGGAAGGGGGATGATGAACTTTTAGAATTCCTATTTAATGACTGAAAATGTAGGTAAGAAACAGGATTTGTCCCTCAAATCTTTCTGAAATTAAAAAAATTGCAGCTATCTCTGCCATACTTTTCTAAGTATAATACCCATTGTTCATGTCTTCAAGTATATGTTAGTAAATATATTGCAGATACTCGGTGTCTGATTTGTAGATGGGCACAGCCACAAGCCCTTGTGTAAAATGCACACAGTGCCTACTGCCTGCCCTGCTAAACCTATCTTCTTCCTACTCCAGTCCCTTCCAGTTCTTACTGCATGCTTTTCCACTAGTCAGTGTCTCTTCCTCACCAGCCTTTGCAAATACAAAGCAGCTAGAACTCTCTAATTCACTTAATTTTTCATGGCTGGAAGCTGCAGTGGTGCTGAATGGCATCAAGAAATTAACCTAACTTCAGAAGATTTTCTGCTCTAATGTGGCTATATAATGCAGACTGACTTTATAAGCTTTATGGGTTACACATACTAAAATTCCTGTGAACTTTTAAGTGGCCTTCACATTCTACACACTGTGAGCTATTGCCAGAATCAGGTTGTGTTTAAGAAAGCACTCATCCATTTGTTCTTGTACTGTGTGAGGTGTCATGATTTTGGAAAAAATACTTGCCATGGAGGCAGGTAACCCTGTAGGTAGATAGGTAGATAGGTAGGTAAGCAGATGGATGGACGGATAGATGGATAGATAGGTAGATACTACCTCAGTCACCAGGAAAGATAAAATATGGCCTTAGGTATATTGTTTAACCTCCTTGGGCTTCTGCTGCTTCTTGTCTAAAATATGGATGATAGACCCATAGGTTTGTTTTATATTTGTACATGTAAAGTACCCGCACTAAACCTGTTATTGTAATCCTAAAATTATTGCTAATGCTATTCATACAGTGATTATTACAAGTATTAAAAATAAATGTTTCTCTCAAGATATTTATTATTCAATGGATTTGATAGTTTGTAAATATCCTCGTGATGATGATAATAATTGGTTTTTCTTCCTGTGTTGCTCTTATAGGTGCTAAGCTAAATATGTAAAGAGCCCAATTTCAATGTTTGTTTATGCTATATTTAAGAGATGAAAAGAATTCATCAAAAGTAAAGTCATTCTATTTCTGATTAGATAATCCATTAGGTATTTTGAGTTGCCTCAGATTTATGGGGTATTTATCACTGCATCATATCACTTCCAAAGTTCTTGCTGTGTGATACCTGGTATCATTCTCAACTATTAATAAAAATATACAGCCATTGCCAGTAGCAGAAATTTCTTCAAATAAAATAGAGCTCATTGTGACCTCATTATTCAGGTTTTTAAATTCCAGTTATATGTTCCATTATATGTATAGACTTTTTATTCCATCTAACTTTTGCTTATATTTCTAGATTTATCCTGGCTCCATAGAATTAATGCAGGTGATTGAAGATTTTATTCACATTGTTGGAATGGGAATGATGGACTTTCAGAATTCATACCTAATGACTGGAAATGTAGGTAAGAAATAGGATTTTTTCCCAAAATCTTTGTGAAATTAAAAAAAAAAATTGCAAGTATCTGCACCACACATATTCAGGTGTAACACCCATTGTTCATATCTTTAGGTGTATGTGAGTAAATATATTATGGATACTTGGTGTCCGATTTTTAGATGGTGTCCGATTTTAGATTTTTCCAACTACATGTTCATTACATACATATGTACACACATACATATACATGTGTATATATACACATATATATTTGTATTCATCTTCATGCATTTTTGTATGAATGCCTACAGGCCTACTTGGGTATGTCTGTGTATGTATACATAAAGGATAATATATACTTCTTTTTCCATTTGCCAAATGCTCATTGCTGTCCAATCTAATTTTCAATATATATGTACTAGCGATTTTCAAAAAAACTGAGTCTTCATTATCTTCCATGTATTGTTCCTGAGGACACTGAGTTATTTTCTCACTAGGTGTGCTCCAAGCAGGTGTCGGATCTGTATGTTTGGAGAGCATTTCAGAATTCCTTCAGTGGTGGCACTATAATTTTACTGAATACTTTCCAGTACACAGTGGATCTCTCAGGTCCCTCTGTAGCAGATTCTGTAATGTAACAACCATTATATTAATCAAATGACACATTTTTCTTTGTACTTAAAAATTGACAAGGACAAATAAATAGTTTTCTTAATTATACACATTGAATTGATATAGGTTTATGGTTTTCTCATTTCTTTAAAGCTTCCTCTCATGTCAGTGTGATTCAGAAAGATTTTCTTTCATTTGTCATGCTGTAACAGTCTTCACATAAAAACCACTGAACTATAGATAGTAATGTGTTAAATGAATATATTTTACCCCATATTCTTATTCACAGATGTTTAAGCTTTAGTTTTTGAATTAGGAAGAGCCCTTCTTTGGTGGGGGAATTAACTAGGAAGATTCAACATGTACAGAACATAATTTTTGTATGATTAGGCTTTTAGTGGTTCATTTTACACTCGATTTCTTCTGAAGGTCCTGAAGTCCTACAGGGACTCATTTGATCCTCAGCTATCTTCTATCAGGGTGACTGCAGGTTACAATGAGTTATAGCTAACTACTGGTAATATTCTTCAGTTGAAGAAAGTCTATGAAGCGGAGTCCTCAAAAGTCTGGAGACATTTTCATGCCCACATACCCTCTTCATGTAGCACAAGACCCTACCAGTTAGATTGATGTCTTAATGCATCTTCTGAACCAGCTGGAGGGCCCAGATTTCTCCCCAGGGAGGGTATCCAGCAGCTTGTGCCAGTTCTGTAATGGGGTGAGCTATTCCTTCCTGTGAACAATGAAATTAAAAAGAAACCAAAAGTAGTATCTTTGTTGATGGATGAAATCAGAGAAAACCCAAATTAAATGTCTATTATAAAAATAGCTTAGGCGAGGTGTTATGGCTCATGCTTGTAATCCCAGCACTTTGGAAGGCTGAGGCGGGAAAATCCCTGTAGGCCAGCAGTTCAAGAACAGCCTGGGCAACATATCGTGACCTCATCTCTACAAAAAATTAAAAAAAAAAAAAATTGCCAGGCATTGTGGCACGTGCCTGTAGTCCCAACTACTTTGGAAACTGAGCCTGGGACATTGCTTGAGCCCAAGAGTTTGAGGTTACAGTGAGCTGTGATAATGCCACTGCACTCTAGCCTGGGCAACTGGGAGAGAATTTGCCTGGAAAAACAAAGAAAAAAATGGTGGGGCAGAAAAAGGAAAGAAAGTCTGACAAGGTGAGCTATGAGTTTTAGGGCACGTGAAAGGAAGAATCTAGGGAGATTTTGGGGATGCAAAGTCATTAAAGCTGGAATAATTGTCCTAAGGACCATGTGACTTCAGTGGTGGATGGGGAAGGAGTTTTGAAGGGTGCTATGCCAGATTGGAAAATTGGCAAAGCAATTTACAAGTAAAACTGGGATAGAAAAACAAAGAACTATTGTTTTCTTGTCCTTTTTGTAAATGTTAACATCTAATTCTAAAAGTCATTGCTAATTAAAAGTATTATCAGGTCACTACATGGCATTTATTCAGAATGTATTTTGAGAAAAACTATTTTAGAAAGCCAGTCTCAGAGTCTGGTGAATTTAAATTTGGATTTAAAGTAGGTTGTTTCAGAATAACAGAATGTCAAATTCTCTGTAGCACTAGTATTATCTGTTATATAAATCTTATAAATGTCCACAAATTGTGATCATTTATTCATCTGTACCTTTCTTTTGACTTATCAAGATTGTATATTTGAATATTTTATGTATTAATTTTTTGCAATAAGATTATGTTATCTAAGTTTGCCTTCTTCCTTTAATATCATTAAACTTCAAGACTAACTCATTAACTTTAAGCATGACTCAAAGCAGTTTAATGCTGCAAATAAAGTCAATATCCTTCTATATTGGCTTCAGTCTTATATAAGGCCTTTGATCATTTATGTAGCATCAATCATCCATATTAAAAAGTTATGTTCTGTGTATAAAAATCCCAAACATTATTATACTGGATATCCAAAAGATATTTATTGCTGATTTCCTCAAATACTAGCCCAGAGACTGACTTTGTGTGACTCGAGTCACATTGGTGACTCGAACTGAAGGCTATACTCCATAATATTTAGAAGTTTTTCAAAAGTGTATCCACTAGTTTCAAATTAAGTGATATGAATAATAATCACTATTAATACTCTTCATGCTATCCAAGTTGATACTATACATAAAACATAATTATACTGTTTTGTTGATATTTCCAATGTTTTTGAGCAAGAACATGCATAGAGAATATTTTATAGTAGCAAATTGTAAAACATGTGAGTTGGCATTCACTTGTCTTACATCAAAAGTACAAATATTAATTATCCAACATTATGCTCATGATACTGAACACAGACATGTATATAGGAATGCATGGATACATGTGAGAAATGAATAGAGACTACTTAATTAAAAAAGATTTCCTATTCTTTATGGCCATTTTCTTCAGAGTATGTTGGATTAAGACTACTTAAAGAACTCCAAAAGATCATAATGTATTTTAGAGGGATTATAAATTATTTTTTCATAGAGCCTATGTGGATAGCCACTTCACTTTTCTAAACTATAAGATAATAAATTCCCAAAGAAAGAAAGAAAGTCGAATGGCCAAAAATAAATGTCAAAAGGACCATACAATTTATTAAGAGAGTCTCAGAACCTCACTAATAGCTTATTTCAAGTTTTAGTTTTAGCGTTTCTGTTTTCTAGTTACTGGATGAGACAGAATGAGTTGGAAGCAGAGACAGTGCTATTAGAGGCACATATATGGAAAATAGAATAGATGAAATGCTAGAAAGTAAGGAAAAAGAAGAACTGAAGGAAGGCAGCGGAGTCTGGAGTCCATATTGTAGGAATCAATGACTCCTCATGCCTTACTTTTGAGAGTATTACTTGTAAGACTGAAGACAATAATTTATGTTTAAAATCTTGGCTTTGATTCATCAAGGTTAACAGTTTCTATAATCTGATTAAGATGGCAAGAAAAGGGATGATGTATTTTAGAAAGATTTTCTTTAAAAACGGTTCAAATGAAAAGGCTTGAAACTTCTTTTGTCTGAAAAATGTCCCCACCTGTATCAGCTTTTGATAAATGAAATGCTTTTATATGATAAAAAAATCTGTGAACATTTTGGTATATATGTGTGCATGTACATTTTTGTAGCGAGCATGTCCATAGCTTTGATCTATTTCTTCAAAGATTTATGATCTCAAAAATTTAATACAGGTTTGGAAAAAAAATAGTTCTACAAACAAAGATGTTAAGCCAATGCATTTATAAAATAATCAAGCTTCAATAGAATATTTATTTTTCATATTCACACATGCATGTCACATTTAAAATAGACAATGAAAATCAATAAT